ACCAGTTCTGGAAAATGCAATCATACGCTAAAAAAGAACCCCTTCCAGGGTATGAAAAACTGTATAAAACGGACCCTCTGAGAAATAACCCTCCAGAGACCCACAAGGACTTTGGTACAAAAGGACCGAATCCTAAATCTCCCTGACCCTGATCACCCGGCTCAGAGTCGATTTTAGCTTGTGGCTTATTCCAAATTTATACTTTGATAATTTAATAAATTTCTTTAATTATTGAATTGGAATATTCATTCATAACAATAAGATGTACACTTGGGCTATGAATAGCTTTTTTTTCTGCAGACAAATATCAGAGGCTTTTCAGTGCATACATTCATCCATTCCTCTTCTGACTTTAATGGTTTAGCAGTGATAGTCCCCAGTTTTGTACTCCCACTAAAACTATGCACTTCCTTCCCCCTCCAATTGGAGGCATGAGCACCTGGATGTTTCTGCACATTGTGGAAGGGAATTCTCAGAGGACTCAGAGACACCTGTGGGTCACTGCTGTTTGAATGCAGCTCCTCAGACAAGTCCCTGCATCCTCTGTCTCCTGCAGGAGCTGCTGGCTGTCCTGCACCAGCAAAGACCCACAACAGAAGCTACCTTCCAAAGAGTTGAGAGTGCATGAGCTACATGCTATGCAGCAATCTGTGGCAGAGTACAACCCCATCTGATGTACATATCATATCAGCACTCTGAAAGGTAAGGTTATAATTCTAGAAGCCTGAATTTCTAGACTTCTATGTCTACAAGTATTTAGGTAATCTATTGATATTTGTAGAGTTACATGCTGCTTTTTCACCTCTTTCCCCGCTCTGCTGCCTCTGTCCCCTCTTGTCATGCTGGGATCTAGATTGGCAGGCAGGCCAGGCTGAGCAGCAGTTTCAGCCCAAGGTCCCAGCTGCCCACACCTGACAGTAATGGAAGGAACCTCCAGAGGCACCAGGCACCGACCCCCTTGGGAGTGTGTGGGTTTAGGCCAGCAGGGAGCCACTGAAGGACCAGTACAGCTGAAGGTACCAAGGCTGTCACAGGGGACAGCACCACTGAAGGCACGGTGCTGCTGTGGGTGGTGATGATGACACTGAAAGTGTGAAGGCTGTGGGGGCTGAGAGAAAGTAGTGAAACTGAGGGATCTGGGGGAGCCGATGGTGATGGCAAGGACTGGGGGGACAGAGAAATGGCATGGGCTGAGAGGGATGGTGGGGCCCAGCACACTGGAGACACTGAGGGGAATAGCAGCACTGTGGGGGCTGATGGGCTTGGAGGGTCTGAAGGGACTGGGGGAGTTGCATGTGGGCTGAGACTCTGGCGACGCTAAGGGCACGGTGGAGATGACTCAGTATTTCTTTTGCTTTCTAAATCTCTCTCTGCTGTGTTTCCATAAGACTGTTCTGCGCAGGAGGAAGCGACTGAGCGGAATCATGGGGAAATGTGCCAGCTGGGTTTCATCTATATCTTTTTCTCTCCATATCTATATTCAGGTATGTTTCTGTCGATATATACCTATATTTCTACATGTCAAGAGCTGTAGTTCAATTTACCGTTATACTTACTTAGTTACAGTATACAGAGATTTAGATATGTACTTTAGCATCTGCTTACTAATGTACAGGCTCACTATGTATGTTGTTATATTTACACAGATGCCAATATATTTATATACCATAGATTGTTATGTTTATATATGTATGGAGTTCCATGTAAAACTGTGTGGAGTTGTAAAATTTAGTGTTGAAGTCAGGTAGAAAAATTACTGAAGAAAAACCTCATCAAATCAGGCCTGCTCTTTAGATCAATGGCTGGCCTGTATTTCTTCTAAGCGCACCTAGTACTTTGCAAGTTCCCATTCGAAAACAATCTTGGTATGAACACTTCATTAACTAATTCAATCTATTACTGAGTGAAAAACAACTAGCACCTGCATAAACATTAAATCTATCCCAAAGAGTTAAGTGAAGAAAATATGTAAACAATTTAAAAATAGAGAGATTTGCCAGACAAGTAAAATACCTTTCACTAACCAATACAGTAATTGGCAAGAAAGGTATTAACCAATTAAAGTTGCACAGGAGGTCTGTAAAAACTGTATAAAAATGTGAATGAAGAAGAGGCTTTTTTCCTGCATGAAAGAAATGGAGTCTTGAGGCAACTGCCAGAACCTGGTCTAGCTCTTAGAACTGCGGTGCCACACTGCAAGGCTTGCTCACTGCAAGAGCTTGCTAAGGAAAGCTACAATTCCAAGTGTAATTTTGAGAAAGTGAAAGAAATCCCCAATCCAAGAGGACATCTTATTTCTTTCAAGACACCACTACTTTCCCACACAACAAGCAGATGAACATAAATTAACCCCACATACAGTGGGGGTTAAATATACTCTTCAGGTATATTTACACCTGTTATTACTTTGGAGTCCAAGAGATCCTTTGTGCAGTCCACAATGTATTTGTAGATTTGGGTACTCTCTGAGAAATTATTTTTCAAATATGACCCTTAGCACTTTTCAGACACTTTCAGACATGGAAGATAGAGATTTGCCTCAGCTTCTAAATACCCTTACAAGCTATCTATCCTCCTACTTCTTGAGAATTTTTACTGCATTAGTTGGGTGTTTGAATTCTTTAAAAATCTTTAGGAAATTTAGAGATCATGGGAAAAAAAATCCTGCTATAGGTAAAAGCACTCAGTTTTAGTTCTGATTTACATAAACTAGCATGATATAGGATAACATAATCTGGTTCCATAAATCAATGGCTATACTTATAGAATAAATCAGCATTAGTTAAGGGAACATAATTATATATATATATATATATATATATCACCCTGTCAATTATCTTGTTTTCTTTATATTTTTTGCTCCAGTAAGAAAAGTCCATAGCAGTATGAAAAAATTAGATCCTAAGAGAAAAGAAATATGCCATATGACCTCTAATGAAGTATCTTCTTAGGTAAGCTATTTGTTGAGCTAAGTGGTAAGAACAGGATCATGAACATCTAAGGCTGTAGAACCTTGTATACTATGTAGTTCAGCATGAGAAGATTCTGCCTCTGCTCAGATCTGGCCACAGTTCAGCCAGACCCCGAAAAAAGCCTGTGGCCACAGCTGTTACTGTGGCATGGATCTTGTGAGGACAAACCCCCTTTGAGACAGAAGATGGACAGGAAGTCAGCTGCACTAATACAGCTATTTGACTTCTGGAATAAAGGGAGAACAGACAGAGTGAGCCTCCATGAGCCTCCAAAAGAAGCATGTACATGTACCCTTACTGTGACAATGTCACAGTCAAAGACAGCTTCAAGGAACGCAAGTAGCTGTTACTACATTATAGAAATTAAATTAGAGAAATATGAAATTAGAAGGAAGAGTGTTGTCTCTTAGTAGTTTAGTCACTTAGTAGTGAACAGCACAAACACTATTCTAAGAGCATTGAAGAAAAAGGAAACCATAGATAATAGTTCTCAGAGCCCCAGCTAGATTAATGAATACTATGTGACCTACAGTAGAAGCCAAAGGTCTTCTTTCTAGGTTGTGGCAATTTACATTAGTTTTAACGGCTATTGAAGCTCAGATTTTTGCTCGGGTTTGGGGGCTTTGGTTGTTGGGTTTTTTTCAGACATGATTGATAAAATGAACAGTTTGTTTCTTGGATATTTATTTTCCACAAATTTTCTAATAAAGAGAGATCCAAGGGAATCAGTTTGTCTGTTTTGTATTTGTGGTTTTCTTATTTGTGTGCAGTATTTTGTCCATGCTTTATCACAGAATCACCAACATTGGTTCCTTGCTGCAACTTAACACCATTTTCAGTTGCCTTTTCATTTGAGACATGGCAGGAGACCCATCCCCACCTGGTTATAACCTCCTCTCAGGGAGTGGTAAAAAGCAAGAAACTCATCCTCCTTTCCTCCAGGCTGAACACCCCCAGCTCCCTCAGCTGCTTCTCACAGGACTTGTGCTTCAGACCCTTCCCCAGGATCTGTTTCTCACCTGTGGATTCCCTCCAGTACCTCAATGTCTTTCTGGATATAAGCAGTCCAAAACTAAACAAAGGATTTGAAGTGTGACCTCACCAGTCCTGAGTACAGGGGGACTGGTCCTGCTGGCCACACTATTGCTGACCCAAGCCAGGATGCCATTGGCCTTCTTGGCCTCCTGTGTCCATGCTGGCTCATGTTCAGCACTGCCAGCCAGAATGCCCAGGCCGTTTTCCCCACGCAGCCTTCCAGCCACTGCCTGACCCAGTAGCACTGCAGGCATTGTGACCCAATGGCAGGACCCAGCACCCAGCCTCGCAACCAACTGGCCTCAGCCAGTCTAGTCTTAGCAGACTGAATTATGTTTGCTAGAAAGGAGAAATAGATTGAAAAAAACAGCCTGAAAGCAGTATTTTTACTTACATCTGAGATGTTCTGTAGTTCCTCCTGTTAGAATCTTAATGACATACTCAAAGGGAAATTTACCTTTGGATGCTCAAAAAATATCCTGACATGATGGCATTTAGCTTCTCCTGCAGATTCTTTTCCCAATTCTCACCCCGGTGATGCCCCCTGCTCTGTCTCGGTATCTTGTCATCCACTCCTGTCCCTGTGCTGCCATCTGCTCTGTCCCACTAGTACCCGCTGCTCTGCCCCACCGATGTCCCCCGCCCTGTTCCCAGCAGTGCACCGGTGTTGTCATTTGCCCTATCCAGCCGTGTCCCCCGTCTGCGCCGGAGGTCTTCGCGTCCCATCCTTGAGCTGTCCCTGTCCTATCCTGGCGGTGCCCCCTTATTCCAGCGGTGTTCCTGACCTATCCCGGCGGGGTCCCCTCTCCTCTCCTGGCGGTGTTCCCCACCCTAATCCGGGGTGTTTCCTTTTCTATTCCGGCAATGCCCCCTGGCGGACTCTTGTTACCCGTCCCGCCTCAGTGGTGCTGCTCGCTGTGCGGGCGCACTCGGCCGACAGTGACGCGGCGGCAGCTGCTGCGGCGGGCGGGTCGTTGCCGCCAGGGGCCAGCCGTGACGGACAGCTCAGGTAGCCAATAGCAGTCGTCGCAGCGTGAGGGGAGCCGCGGACGCAGCGCGAGCGCAGGCACCGCCACCGCCTCCCACCCAAGAGGGTCCGGCTCTTTGTGCGCGTCGCGTCACCCCCCGTTGCGGTGGCTGCGGCTGCACCGCCGGAGTAGGAGCAGGCGGAGGGGGGAAGCACCGTGGAAAACATCGCTCGCCCGCCCGCGCTGCCGCCGCCGCCTCATGCCGTGGCGCCATCCTGCTTCTGGCCCGGGGACCTGCATGGCCGGGCATGGGGAGCGCTGTGCCCTCCCGCGCCCCCAGGGCTGAGGCGCCGCTTGCCGCTCTGCGGCGGCTGCTCGCTGCACTGGGGCTACTGCTGCTGGGCGCAGGTACCAGGAGTGTGGGGCTGGGAGGGACAGGTGCGCGCAGACGCGAGGAGGTGGCGGTCCTTTCCCTTCCGGTAGAGCCTTTCATGAGGAGGGATTCGCGAGTTGGGCCTGTATACCCCAGAGAAGGCTGCGAGGGGATCTCGTTAATGCGTATAAATACCTCCGTCCGAGAGGATGGTGCCAGGTTCCTTCATTGGTGCCGAGCGACAAAAAGAGGGACAATGGCTATAAACTGAAACACAAAAAGCTTCACCTCAGCATGAGGAAGAACTTTGCATTAAAGCGTAGCAGAGCACCGGAACAGGCTAGCAGGGAGGTCATGGAGTTTCTCTCTCTTAAGACATTCAAACCCTACCTGGACACGTTCCTGTGTCACCTGGTCCAAGTATCATGCCTTGGCAGGGGCATTGGACTTGGTGGTCCCTTCCCGCCCTAAAAGTTCTGTGGTTCTATTATTTATCGGGCTGTTTGATAACTTGACAGACTTCCTCAGCTAGCCTGCTTTATATGTGATCAAAATAATATTATGAATACAACTGAAGGGAAGTAAAAGTTTTGATGCTTTGAAAGTCTGGCTCTAAACTCAGTATTCCCTCTGTCATTTTGCTTGGTGTGGGTCTTTTTTGTGTATCTGAAAACACAGAAGCTGATTGTTGTTAGGGGTTTTTTTCTGTGTTCTGCAGAGGTATGTATGGCTTGCACAAAAATTTTCAGCTTACCTACACGAGTCATGGTCGTGTCATGGTCGTGCTTAGTTGTAGGTGAGGAATTCCTCATTCTACTTTGTGTTGTCTTGGGATTTTGTCGGATTTGTGTTAGCTATGCATCACTGGAAAAACATTGCCCTTACAAATTCATGGTTTGGATATTGAGAATAAGTAATGTCAGTACTGACTCAGGAAGGTCAGCTGTTTCAGGCAAGCAAAGAAATTGCTGCTAGCCTCTCATCACTGGGTGCACTGCAGAAAACAGCTATTTAAAAATGAAAAATTATGTTATTCAGCCTATTTTCCACTTCTCATGGCTCAGGAGTTTCTCGTGTATTTCATTTTTCAGGTTTATTTTAACTCTTCCATGTATCTTTGTGGCATTCAAAACCCACTTCATGACAGTGAGAAATTTCAGATAAATGTTCCACAGATGAATTTTATTAGATAGTTTTGCAGACTTGGACAGCTGTTGCATGAAGTTGTGCACCTATTCTTTATGAAGGTCTGTTTTCTCTTTGGATGGCAGGAAGTGTGATCTGTCCTGGGCTGGGGTCCTCCTGGTTTTAACCTGTGTGAAAAGTTTGGCTCTGTTGCCCTTAGTGTGTCTTGTTCATTTAATATTTGCTCCTGGTAAGTTCTTTAGTATAAGTTGCCTTCAGAAAGCTGTTGTTAACTGTCATGAGAATCTGGAAAGATTTCAGATCATACCTGTGAGAACTGTGGAGGAGACAACTGTGAAACATCGATTTGCTTGCAAGGATGTTAACTGGTTTTTTACAGAAATCAGGTAATCAGATAAAATCTGACTGGTTTGCTCATGCAAACTGAACTGTTTAGCAGTTGTATACATCTGATCATTTCTTCAGGCTTTTGTGTGAGAGAGTTTCTCTTCCACCTGTCTTATTACTGAATTATTACTGAATTAGTAACAGCTACTGCAATGTGCAGGTGAGTTACCTGAAAACTTGCACTTCAGACAGCTGGGTTTTTTTCACACTTTGGTCCCAAAAAAATGAGCAGTTGAAGCTTTAGCTATGGCAGTGCCAGGGAAATGAAGCAAACTGTTTGTCCGCTTACCTACCATTCTCCCCCACCCTGGTTTCTAGAAGGGAAATTTTTGCTGTATTCAGTCTAGTGTTTGTCTAAACATTTTTAGACATTTTACATGTCTAACATCTAACAATGTCTAAACATCATTACTTTGTTGCCTTTACCACGTTCTTCTGAGGGGCAGAATTCTATATAAAAATTCAGTAACTTGTGTAAAGCCCTTAAAAGACTAAATGGAGACTTCCTTATTGACTAAGTGATTAATTTAAATGCAGAATTGCATCATCACCTTGGTATCTGGAATGAAATGTTTGGCTTGTACTTGACAGGACCTAGTGCTCTTAATTTTTGTTTGGACAATATGAAGTAATGGATTAAGACATCTTGAGTCCTGTCAGCCTCTGAGATAGTCTCCATTGCTATCCTTCTATCTTTCAACCTCTTCTTTTCTGAAATGCAATGTTTCCCTAATGGGTGAGTACTATCAGTTTAAGTTGCTTTCTATGGTACTTGTGGGAGTGGAAAGGGGTATTGCCACCAAAGAGGTTTGCTTTTATGTCTCTCTGCTGTCTGTTTCGCTCAGGAGACTGTGAGCTGCACGCATCTTGTGGAATCCAGAAGTGCACCACTGATTTTGTATCCTTTACTTCACATCTAAACACAGCTCTTGAGAACTTTGATTTGGAGTTCTGCAAGGCCCTGCGGGCATACTCTGTGTGTACCTATCGCAATTCCAAAGCATGCCGTGGAAACTTAGTCTACCATTCTGCAGTGCTTGGGATCAGTGATCTCATGACCCAGAGAAACTGTACCAAAAATGGACCCACATCCTCCACCAACTCTGAAATGACCCATGATCCTTGCAATTACAGTGGCCACACAGAAGTGAGAGAACATCATGGGGGAGAGAAGACACCTCCTCCTGCTTACCTGTTCTGTGGTTTGTTTGGGGATCCTCATCTGAGGACTTTTAAGGATCACTTCCAGACATGCAAAGTGGAAGGCGCTTGGCCCCTCATAGACAATAAATACTTATCAGTGCAAGTGACCAATGTGCCTGTGGTCCCAGGATTCAGCGCTACTGCTACAAACAAGGTACAGATTATTTTGTGCACTGTGCATGCTCCGAGAAGTAAAAGGCCAAGATGGTTCAGTCAGTCATTTAGCCCTTAACAGTGAAGAAGTGTATTAGCTTGAGAATCTTCTATGCAGTAGTATAAAAAAGTAAAACTCTTAGCATCTTCTTTTATGAGCATCAAAAAAACCAGGTTATTTTATTCTCTCTGCTCCTGCTTAAGTCAAGAAAACTTGTGCCAATCACCACACAAGGCTGTAATGATACAGGTGTAACACTTTAAAACACTTATTGATTGTACATCTGTGACTGCCTGTGCACTAATTAGAAATTTAAAAAATCATACAATGCTGTGGGTTGGAAGGGAATTTAAAGATGGAAAGAATGTATGTGTCTGCTTTTTATTAATTTTCTAAACTTCACAGCTAGAACAGTAGAAAGTGGCTCAAAAAACTGGTTACCAAAACAATGATGATTCGGAGCAAAAACAAGAGGGCGAACTGCAGAGAACTGAGAGGAGGTGGCAAGCTAAATGCTTGTGACAAGAACTTAGTACCTTAGCTTTACTAAAGAAGCAGTGGCCTTAAAATTGTACCAAGAATATTAAACCCTTGTTGAGACAGACAAGATTTAAGATTGCACTCCTCTCAGATACTTTGAGGAGTCTAGAGTAGGAATACATCCACTAGTGTTTAATAACTGATGCCATTTCTTTAACTTAAGAAAAGTCCTTGTCTCTTTCTGCTGGATGCAGGTAGCAAGTGTGTCCGTCAATTACTTAACCATGCATTTGAAGCTGATATTGTCACATATCTCTTTAGGAGTAAAAGGGCTTTTTTAAAAACTGTGGTAGTGTAGCTCTTGTATTGTCAAGCTGTATCAGGCTATATGTACACAGCTTCAAGACATTTACACCAGAGAATTTTGACTGTATTGTTAAGTCTGGAAGTAGGTTTTTTTTAAATTACTGGAGTCAGAAGCACGAGTTGTCTGTCACAGTAGGGTAGAGCCTACACATCCTCTGTGGAGTTGGCTGGGCAGTAGTATTAATATAGGAAAATCAGTTTTACTATTAAGGTTGTGCTGGGTTCTGAAGTATTGGCTAATGGCAATGCTTGGATGAATGAACAGAATTTGGACTTAAGCTCAGAATTACATTTTCCTAACTTAGGCCAGTTTCAAAAACAGTCTGCATTGTGAATGAGTTCTGAAGGTGTATAAAATAAGGGAATGAGACTAATGTGAGTAAGCTTTGCAAAAGAGACTTACGTCTCCTGCGATCTAGAGTGGAAGAAAAAAAAAAGCTGCATTTCATAATCTGCAGTAAGCTTTCATCCTCAGTTTTGCTAAACTCTTGCTGAATTTTCTTTATTTCCTTGTTCCTGGTAGTTGTAGAGGAAAAAGTTGAGATTCTTGTGTACAAATTGTGTGGATGGTTAGGGTGTGGTTGTAATAGATAGGTGATCTTAAGTTTAGCCACATTCTGAAAATGATTGACTGTGGTAGCACAGTATGCTGGTATATGTCTTTTCAAAGAGGTAAAGAGGAGAGCACCAGAAGTAAATGTACATACCGAGGGAAAGTATTATTTTTAAAACTGTGCCTTCTGTCTTTATTCTCAATAAAGTTGGGGGTTTTGGGGTTTTTTTGTTTGTTTGTTTGTTTGGGGGTTTGGTTTTTTTGTTTTTCGTAAAATGTTTTTTTTTTCCTCTTAGTAATCCCTGTCATCGCCCAAGCACAGCTAAGTGTGCAGAAGCAATTAAATAAAACAAGATCTATGGTTTATGATACTAGAAATATTTCTAATGCTGATATGTCTCACAAGTTGCACAGTCCTTGAATTTTTTTCTTTTTTTTTTTGGCAGATAACAGAATTTATCACACCTATTGTAGGCAAGGAAGGTTGTTTGAATGTACAAGTGACTTAGAAGATAAGTTTTAATATTTCCATGCCCTTGACACTGTTATTTCTATAGGAGCAGACTACTATAATGAAATAGAAAAGGCCTGTTAAGCTATATTACTACTGCTTCATTCACTCCAGTAACATTTTCCTCTGCAAGTATTCCATTTTAACTGTGGTTGACTATCTACAGTTGATGTATATAAATTATTTTGGCCACAGGGTAGCTTAAAGGACTTCTACACTTCAGTGACAATTTATCTACATGGAGTAATCCCTGGCTGAGAGCATGCCAATAGGTCTTCTGTCTTCATCATATAAAAAGTTTTCAGACTGTTTCTTTTTGTTAGTCTTGCACGTATTTGAAGTAGATGTTTAATGGGAAATACAGGTATATGCTGAACTTAAATTGTACAGAAGCCCAAGCAAATACTAATCTAAATTTCCCTTGAATCCCTTATTTGAAAGAGCACATCTTGTGAGAGTTGTGTACTTACAAAAATGCTCTTGACAATTTGTTTGTAGGTGTTTTGCACATTGGTGTTACTCATAGTAACATATGTATTTCACCATGAGCAGAGCTATTTTGTGTTCTGTGGTCTAGCTGAAACTTCGAAATTCCAGTTTTTTGAGCTTGCCTGATGTGCTTATGCCCCTTGGCATAGCATCCTAGGGCCTTTCAGATGGAACAGGAAGATCATTAGCAGTTAACTGGGAAACTGGGTTTAAGCTTTTCTTTCTTTTACTTTCTGAAAGACTTCCTGCATGTGTTTTGAGTAGGTCACTGGCATTATTAATGTTTGATTTCTGCAGCTCTAGATAAAGAGCTTCCTTGTCTTGGAGATAGTTTTGCAATTCCCTGAGATTAAATGTCTATTCAGGGAGCAGGTAGGAAGGGTATTGTCTAATGCATTAAATAGAACATTGGGGTTTTAAAATTTTTATTTATTGTGTTCTTTATTTGGAGGAGTACAAAGTCTTTATAGCCTACTGCACCTGTGACTGGTGTTCTGGATATCACTAAAGTAATTGTCCCTGAATAGCAAATGAGGCAGAGATGCTTAGGCTTGCCAATGGAAAGCTTTCCTTCTTGTTTGGAGGTGTCTTCTTGTTTGCATTAATTGGAAATGAGGATTTTCCTGTCCAGGTGTTCTGTAATACATAACTTGAGGGTGAAAGAGTGAATTTAAGGACACAGAGAAGGAAAAAAACTACAGAGCTTTTTACTGTAGTGATGTATTGGGTATAAACCTTGGAACCTGGAAATTGGTGCTATCAGCAGGGTAAAGGGATTTGAGGGATAAATGTTCTTTTACCCAGAGTCAAAACACTTTAAATATCTCTTTTGTAGCATGGTTTCATTTTTGCAGGAAACTATTGCAGAGTGAGCACAGCGTAATAGAAAAATAATTAAAAAGCAATTGGAAGATAAATGTTCTAAATGTTTTAAGAAGTAGAAGGATCAGGTAACTTGTCACATGTCATTATTCTTTTAATCTTTATGGACATTTTGCTTAAGGTAGAGATGGATTTGTCTTATTACATAGAATCAGCTTTATACTACAGTTTCATTGGAGGCTGCAATAGAATAATTTAGGTTGGAAAAGACCTTTAAGACCATTGCGTCCAGTCGCAAACTGTCAATTCCACCACTAAACATGATCCATAAGTGCCGTGTCCACATGCCTTTAAAACGTTTTTGGGGATGCTGACTGAAGAGGCTGGGAATCCTGCTGCAGTGCTCAACAACTCTTCCAGTGAATAAATTTTCCCTAATATTCATTCTAAATCTTCACAGCACAGCTTAAGGTCATTTTTTCTCATCCTGTCACTTGCTGTTTGAGAGGAGAGACTGATTTCCACCTACTACAACATCCTTTCAGAGACTTGTAGAAAGCAGTGAGGTCTTCCTTGAGCTTCCTTTTCTCCAGGCTGAACACCCCAAGCTCTCTTAGCCTCACTTCATCAGGCTTTGCTTCAGATCCTTCCCAGCTCTGTTTCCCTCCTCTAGACTTGCTCCAGCACCTCAGTGTCTTTCCGGTTATGCGAGGTGCAAAACTGAACACAGGATTTGAGGTGTCACCTCAGCAGTGCTGTGTACAGAGTACAGTCCTGCCCTGGTCCATATGGCTACACTTTGTTTGAACCAAGCCAGGATGTCCTTGGTCTTCTTGGCTCCCTTTGCCCACTCTGGCTCATGTTCATCCGGCTGAACAGCCAGCATCCTTTTCCACTGGACACTTTTTCACTCACTCCTCCACAAGTTTGGCAGTGTTATAATAAAGGTTGAAGTTAATGATATTAGAGATCTTTTTCTAGCCAAACAATTCTAGAATTCTATGAAATGCAATGTAAAATAACAACATAGTGGTACCTTCTTTATTGTAATTGCATTGTGGCACTAAGGAAGCTAGCCTCATTGTCGCTGCTAGAAATGAAGGGATGGGACTACCATCAAGTTAAGAACAATTTATTGCTGAGATAAACATCAGTGTCAGAGGCCATGAGATTTTAGAGGAGCAGGCAGTTGGCCATAGTACAAAGTAGTCATAAGTTTCTTCATTAGAAGGCAATATATAACTTTCTAAACCAATAGACAGTTGCCACAGGATTTATTTTGCTTTTCTAACCTATCACATTTACTTACTTCTACTGCACTGTGGATACTTTTATCTCACAAGCACACACACAAGCTTTTGTTATAACTTCTAAACTCTTAAGTTTGTTCCATACAACCACACCCCTACATTGTAAATACTTCACACCATTTTACCAGTACATTTTCTCACTTACTTAGGGCATATTGTCACTTACAACTATGGAAATACAAGTTCATGATTCTTCTGCTTAGTATCTCTGTATTGTATTTTTACATCAATCTTCTTCTAAGGCTGCAGATCAAACCCTTCTATGTCTGTCTTCTTCTAAGGCCACAGATCAAACCCTTCCATGTCTGATTCCCACAGGAAGTACAAGAACTCAAGAGCTGAAAGTGCTGTTTTTGTTTAAGGCACACAAGCCTTAAATCTTCTACAAACACATTAGGGTCTTCTCTAGAAATGGTAGTTCTACAGTTCAGTAACACCATCTTTGAAAGGTTTTGTATGAGGAGTGGAATTTAAGAAAACTACAGGATCAGTGTACTCATCAGTACTGGCATCAGTAGGAATGGGAAGATGAAGTCCAAAATGAAATGTGTAAATTTTATGTGTGGGATTTCTTTGGTTTAGTAATCTTACTATAGCTGATGTTTGTTTATTGTATCCTCAGATAACCCTCTGGAAAGCTTTATTTTCATCTTCCAGGTGCCGCACTGCAGAAGACCTCTATATATGGCCAAAGAGTAAGGCTGATGCACTGATAGTTTCAAAGATCTTTCTTTATGTGAAGATTATGGCATCTGGATTTTTCCGTCCTAAGTTTAGAAAGGGCAGCTAATCTCTAGTCTGTAAACAGTACTGTATAAGCTGCTTTTTGAAGGTGTTTTTGGGAACCAGACAGAGTACTGAAAAATACTGTAGGTACATAAACATATATAACACATGTTGAGTCTGTAAGAAATAACCATTTTCACTTTTTAATGCTCTCTGATACCTTGAGAATTTAAAGAGAGAAAGCTCTGCAATGACATTTTGCTTCATCTCCCTTTGAACAGGTTCTGAAGTATCCATCAGTACCAGGGCATGATACTGAGATAGGAGTGTGTGATAAGGCAAAGCCCATGCAGCACTCTGGTTTTACTGATCTGGCCAATAGATTAGATGGATGTCACCCAACAGACAACAGAATATTCAAAATCAGTGTCTTGAGCTGCAGAGTTCATATACAAGTATGTCCTTGGCAGATCTTAATGGTCTCTGTTGAGTCTCTGTTTAGAGTGTCCTTGCAACATGGACATGCCTTTATTTATCTAATACTCTTTCAGCTCTCATTCAGCATCCATTGTTATTGCTAATCTTAAAATAGAGTGAAGGCTTCTTGTTCTTTCTCTGTGTTCTAAAATTGTGTGCATTTCATTCTTGCAAATGAGGGAGCTGGAGAGATCAGTTTGGTAGCTTCTTCCTGATAAATTTTGCCAGGTGCCTTGTTTAAATATATTATCAAGCAGCCAGCTCATTATCTCATTAAAACAATGAGACTTCTTTTTGGCTCCAGACTTGTTTGAGTGCTAAGGAGACTTAGACTTCACTTCTGTTGGTGTGTAAATTATTCTTTCCCTGCAGAACAACACAAATGTGCTCAAGGAAATAGCAATGCTTCTTTGTCTGAGCAGGCTGAGATAGAAGTCTGTTTCATCCAAACTGTGTTACACAAAATAAAAGGCCTTTTACTGCATTATGGCCTGGATTATATGCAGAAATACTAATAATTTGAGGGACCTCAAGTTTCTCTTCTGTTGTTTGCTGAGCTTACTTTACTAAGAGCAAAGCTGTAAGGTCGTCTTTACAGCAACAGGGGCACTTATGTGTTTTCTGGATTTTGGGCATAAGCGTTTCAGCTCAGCTGTGGTTCACAGACATCACTTTACCAAATTATTTGACTACAGATGATCTTAAGGTATATAGCTGATACATCTCATGCTGTATAACTGATTAATGCAAGGAAGAACCATTGGAAAAATCCAGTCAGGACTTGTGAGAACATAGTCAAAATAAGGAGTGTCCGTGTTGTGAGACAAACACTGACAAAGCATCAACCACCTAACATTAACCCAATATTGAAAATAAATGTAATATTATTTAGGATATGTCTGCTTACTCCAAAGAAGAAATGGTTGCAATGGGAGGAGAGAGGTGGGAAAACTTGTGTTTTATACAAGTGGTGTAGAGAGGTGGGGCTAATGAGGGCAGAGGTTTTATTCAAATTGTTTGTAACTAGCTCTTGATTTAACCTCTTGCTCTTAGTTTAAAGCAGAGAAGCAGAAATAAAATTGTGCAGAAGTGCGATGGTTAACTGAAACTAAAATGTGAGGTTGCTGTGGAACAGATTTTACGTTTAACCTTAGTTTAACAATATCTTCTGCTATGTTTTGAAGTAATTTGAGTCTCATAGCAGACTACTTAAATCATAGACTAACTAATTTGAGATAATCAATCAATGGTGAAAATAATTATTAAAATATCTCTTCTTAGTGCAAAATGTCTTTTGACCCTTTCAAGAAGTCATTCCCCTCTAGTCATTCTTCCTCTAAAGGAAGTAGCTTATCTCTTTATAATACTTGGATGTGAATTCTCATTCTAATTTTTGTTTTAGGAAAGCAGCTAAACACTCCAGACTTGGTCTGCCATATAGCCTAGTTATTCCCTTCAAGTAAGAATGGAGGACCTGCTTTTTCTTTTATTGTGACCTACTCCAATAAGTAGAAAGTTTTAAAAGACTAGTTCTAATCTTAAAAAAAATTTTAAAAATTGCTTTATGCTAATGATTGTAATGTTGAAAGTCACTCAGTCTTCAAAAGCACATCTTTGGGTGTCTTTCAGTCTTGCTTTTTTTCTCTGTGGGCACATTTTCTAGCACAGTGGACTCAAAGTGTCAAATCTCCCAGTTCCTAGGACTAATGCATCTAGGATCCCTAAGCTGTTTGACTAGTTGTTCTTCTTGGTCTTGATTATACCTTTCTCTGATTTTGCATGGTCTCATACTGGTTTTGCCATAGTTGCCAGCGTTGTGGGAATTACTTGGTCCTTATGCTTCTCTCATTGCAGGATGCATTCCAAAGTGTTAAGAAACTGTGAGGCAGGAGGTGGTTGTTATGCTTAAGTAAATATAAAGTGTTTTCCTTTCCTGAACTCAAGGCTGTTACCACATGCTAAAAGTCTTGCTTCCAGACCAGCAAAAAAACCCCAAATTTAACATTTGCCATCCAGTAAAATACTGCTTTAAGCATGTGTACAGGCTGTTTTCCTTAGGCGTGAGTTGTGGACAACTGTCAGGTTTTAAGGTAGTGGGCAGTTCCAGACATATTCAGTTACAAAATGGAAAAGGGTTTGAGATGATTATTTATTTCTTTCCACTAATTTTGTCCTTTTTTTCCCCTCCCCCACAGATAACTATTATTTTCAAATCATACCAACACTGTACAGATCAGAAAGTATATCAAGCAATGACTGATGATTTGCCTGCAGCTTTTGTTGATGGTACAACAAGTGGAGGAGATGAGAACACCAGGAGCTTGCACATTGTGGAGAAAGTCAGTGGCAAATATGTTGAGATGCATGCAAGGTACATCGGGACCACAGTGTATATCCGCCAGCTTGGGCACTACCTGACCCTGGCCATTCGCATGCCCCAGGAGATGGTCATGGCCTTTGAGGAGAGCCAGGATCTGCAGCTGTGTGTGAATGGCTGCCCTTCCAGTGAACGTATTGATCAGAGTGGCCACTTGCCATTGCCTGTGATGGGAAAGCTGCTTCCTTGGGGTGCTGCATTTCATCCCCAATCAGGGTACACACTGGAAACAGCCACCACCAAATGCCATGAGAAGATGCTTGTGAAGGACATCTATTTTTACTCGTGTGTATTTGATCTACTCACTACTGGCGATGCCAACTTCACAGCTGCTGCTCACAGTGCCTTGCAGGATGTGGAGGCACTGCACCCCAGCAAAGAGCACTGGCATATCTTTCCCAGGAGTGGAGATGATGGTGTGGGCAGGGATAGCAAATTCTTTGTCATTCTTGGACTTCTGTACTTGATCCTTGTTGCATATTTGTACAATTTTTTTTTTTAGACTCCAACAAAATTTTGAAATATATGTTGTCGTAATATATTGAGTAAAGAGGAATATATGTGTATATACAATGTATATGAAGGGATGTTTTGTCTTGGGGCATCAATCAGGTAGGATGTTAACTGTTTTCATGTATGTTTGATTCAGTATTCTATGTATCTATTTGTTTTACAGTTGTTGGAAACTTTTATAGTGTTGCTGCATTGAGACCTGATAAAAAGCACTTTATTTTTTACACTTTAGATGTATGTGTGTATCTCAGTAACTATGTGTTACACATTAAATCCTCAATGCTGTCTCTTCTCTAAGTACTACTTGGTTTAACACATTTTTTTAAACAGAATTAACTTGTGGGTTTTCCCAAGAGACCATTAGCTAATGCCAAACATGTATATTTTGAAGGTAGTGAATGGTCTCCAAAGAGAGCTTAAACATAGAAAACTTTGAGGGAACCCCTTTTTTTTTTTTTCCCCCCCCTTGACAGGCCCTCCAATTGTCTGTATTCTAGAAGGCTAGATTTATGTTTTTTTCATGCTTGGAAACCCCACAATGTATCAATCTTTGCAAAACGTTGTAGGTATGGTTCATTACTATGCCAGTAAGAATTTGTGTGTGTGTAATAGAATGGCTGTTCAGTGTGTAAATATTTTAAATTATTATAATAGAAGAACAGTTGTCGTGTCCCATCCCCGCCCCTGATGAGGAATGTCAGTAAGGTGGTATAAGGGACCCCTGGTGGGGTGCACAGAAATTAGAGATATAGACCATGTACTAGGCAGGTAATCTATAAATAAATTCTCAGTTTGTCTCCTAGCCAGATAGGATAGAGGGGATATTGCATAGCTGTGTGCTGAATACAGTTGTTATACTTCTTGCAGATGCTTGTTTCTCTCTGCTATAGAAGATATGTAAATTTATGACCAGCAGCTGCAAACCAGGCCAGTTTGTTGAAAAAGATAAGTTTATTGAAAGAGATGAGGAACCATTCCCTCAGGATCAACAACTCCCGAGTTGAACAATTCCTTTGTAGTGTTTGCAGAGATATTTACAAGAATTATAACACAGGAATCTGTGTTACTGCTGCATCCCTCCTGAGAGACTTTATAAAAATCCTCTTTTCAAGTAACCTCAGAACTCTCAGACCAGAAGAACCCTGGAACAAAAAATTATTTTCTTTAAAACTAAAGAGATGGGGAAATTTGAATAAATTATTCAGAAAAGTCCACAAGATTACAGAACTTAGTGTAACAAGATGATCTGCTAAATATATATGGAGTATTTCATCTGCAAGGCTAATCAGACACTGTGAAGGTAAATTGAAAGTGCCAAAACTTACAAGAAGTTATGTCAGATACGTGTGAAGAAATACAGACCTAATAAACCTAATCACAACTGTCAGTGTTAGTTCACTAAGCTTGTATTACAGCTGGGAGTTGAGGTGTGGTAGAAATAATCTTACCTGGAACATGTATCAGTGAAATGAGTTGTGAAAATTGCTGTAGAAGGCAAAAGGAGCTTTAAATATGTATATGTTTACTGTACACAGAAGGCAGCTGTCATACCTGTAGGAACTTACTCACAGGTGTTAGTCTTAACACCACAAGCTCTGTAGAAGGCTCTGTAATGTGATCATTGGTATTTTAATGCAACAACCAGTCAGTGATTACTGATGCTATCTGTTTGCTGGCCTTTGTCTTAAGCTACCCTTGGCTATTAGTGGCTTACTCAAAAGGGTTTTTTAAGTATCTTCTAGAACACACCTTACCATATGTTTACAGAGCTTCTAACAACAGGTGATGATAGTTCTCTGTAGTTGTGGAGTCTTGACAACTTCCTTAGTAAGGATGTTGCAGGACTGGCAGAGACTGTATGCCTAATCCTTTATTTTGTGTGTAAAGAAGGCTCCTAAACAAGAGTATTATAAAAAGAAATAGTAGGGTCAATTGCCTGTTAAACAAAAAATTCGGGGTTTTTTGCTGGAAAACCTTTCTGGAAGAAAAATGTGCATAAAGAATCTGTTTAGTGGAATACAACTGGAGACTATGACCTTTTGTTCTTGTGGATCAAGTTACAGACCGTCAGTATTGCGTTTCCTTTCAGATTGCTGTTGTACTGTTAGAAAATAAGAATACCAATTATTTACATTCTCCTACTTTAGCATTATGACTACCATGCATTTGTTTTGTGAGTTTTGAGGCTGTGCATCTGTTTACTTATATACATTCCAAAGTAAAGCAAGCAATTCTGCAAGCTTTGTACTACCTATTGAGAGTTTCATTAGTGGACAAGTTTTGGAAAAAAGGCTAGGAGTGTCATGGCTTTCTTCTCTTCTGAGAAGAGACAGCACAGTATAAAGTCTTGCATTCATTTTCTTCATGTAGGTATAGTGGTTGTCTTTTACACTGAAATTTTCATGCTTTGGTTATTTAATGCCCATCTCTGTCTTGACTGGTATAAATTCTTTCCTGTCTTTCCCTGTTCCAGCTATACAATATCCAAACAGAACTGATAACAATTCCCTTTTTTTAGCAAGTATTCTGTGTTTTTTACAAGGTAAGCATTCTCTGTATTGTGCTGCTAGTACTCTTGAACTGTATTCAAAGCAAACAGGGATTGTGGGGATCAGTGTTGTCCATTAGATTTTATAGTTCTCATTAATCACCTTGTTATGGAGAGCAACATAGCTACAGATCGAGTACAAGTATTCAGGTAAATTTGTGATGCTGATGTAGAAAAAAATTGCATCTGATCTGATTCCAAATTCTTTATGTTTGTAACTGAACTTCGTTGACATTAAAAGCTGCTATTACTAAATTAACTGTGAACAGTAAGATTGATTACAGTCTTTATGGAGTGGTATCTAAAGCTGAGACACACAGTAAAGCCTTTTCATCTTGAACCCAGATGTTTCTCTGGGATCTCTAATTCTTTCCGTAGTCCAGTAAGCCCCCTTAAACAACCTGTATTTTGCTGCTGAGCAGAAAAACAGAAAGCAGTCTTGAGAGTTATACCTGCACCCCAGCCAGAGTCACATGTTGGTCATCTGCCTGGCTTACTTTGCAGGACTTTTTGGGCAGGTTTGACTTGCTCACTCATGTTTGGCAGGTGATGATGGAGTTGTTTAGAGTGTAGTGGTGATGAGCATTCTGCTGGAGTTTGGGAAAGCAAGCTGAAATTCCTCTTCTGCCTTGGTCTTTCACATCTTGTGATTAATAGCTGGGAGCTATTATTGAATAAACATAATTTTGTGGTATTACAGGGGGATAGCTTTATCCAGACTTAGGTCCAGAGGTCTTAGGTGCCTCAAAAGAGACTGGAGGCATACTTCAGCACTTGAGAGGTATTTTACCTAAATTCAGCAAACTAAACCTGTAAGCTACTTCTGTAGTTGGTGGAGTGAGTGACAACATTCTAGATTGGACCAAATTATCTTCTGGAAATGGCTATTACTATTGTCCAGGAGAGAAGGAGACAGCTATTTTAAGTAGCTGAAGTCAGGTGAAACAAGTTCAGCCCTGATGGGTACATTTTAAATTCCAGCCTAGGTTCACAGCCAGGGACAACCTATGTTCACTAGAGACAAGCCACCTGATCCAGCACTTCCTGCACAACTCCCTGTATCCCAGACCTGGCTGATGGAAATACCTTGGCCTGGGAAAGTCTCACACCAGACCTTGGTCTTGCCTGCAGTCTGAAACCTTCAATGTTTGATTATCTTGAAAGTAGAACTGAAGAAGGCAACCCCATGTTTGTTGTACTGGCCTATTTTCTCTAAGTGCTCTGTGGGTCAGGGGAAGGGTGGAAAAGAGAAATTAAGAAGCTCTAGTCAGAGGGTAAAGAGGAGAGTGGACCAAGTGGGTAAGGTCTTAGTGGTAAGTGCTTCTAATCTTATTTTTTGTCTTTAAATCCCAAACTGTTTACATTTTCTAGTGAATGATGTACATGATATAACAAGTGTGTGTAGCTATGATATTTTATGGAAAATCCCTTCCTAGGATTTTTCCTGTCCTGAGGAGCTGAGAGCCTCAGGAAAGAAATGTAAACAATAACTATCTGCTGCTGTAGAATGCAACAGGTGCATCTTCCATTGGTCCATGTGGATTGTTTTCAATTGATGACCAATCACAGCCACCTGTGTTGAGGCTGTGAGCAGTCACAGGATTTTGTTATACATTCTATTCTATTCTTGTTCTTTGTAGCCTTCTGATCATTCTTTTCTCTCTGTTCTTTTAGTATAGTTTTAATGTAGCATTTTAATATAATATGTAAGATAATAAATCAGCCTTCTGAGAAAATGGAGTCAAGCCTCATGTCCCCACACATGGAGCATCCACTGCAACAAGTGTGCAGAGGAACAAGGGCTGCATTTTCTAATTACAGAATTTTATCTTTTAGGCTCTTCTTGGATGTGTCCTTGCTGCCATTACCATACAAAGGTTTTACAGAAAGCAAAACAGTTTCAACAGCTGGCAAAACTCTTACATACCCTGCAGCCATGTTATTAATGTATTTGACTAGAAAGTAAGAGGTGTTTGTTTGAATCCCCACTCCAAACTGTGTGAAGGAGATGTGCAAACAAAGGTTTCTTGCCTGCTTGGGTGACTGCAGTAGTAATCCTACTGGGCTTACCATTTTTATCTGAGAATAATCCGTGATAAAAGAGCAAGCTGCTGTCCTTTCTCAGGAAAAATGCTCTGCTTTTTTTAATTGTGTGAGACCTGCCTTCAAACAGTATATTGGATTGAAACTACTCCCACTTGGTGGGGTATGTCAGAGGAATAACTTTCTCTAACACTGTCTGTAGAGATACCTTAGTGGTGGCAAACTCTTGTGGGCAGGTCAAGTTAAAAAATCATGTATATCACTATCTGTGATGCCATCTCTAATTCCTTACTTCTGACCTTTGCAGTGCCAGTGGTTTGGCATGACAATGCCTTCATCTAGTTCTTCTTCCTTCAGATGCTGCCAGTTGTCACTCACTAGCTTGCCTAAAACATCATGAACAAATTCTCTGTAAAAATAAGTTGATACTCAGCCATGAGAGAGAATTGTTACCAGAACAGTCTTTTGGGGAGGGTTGGGGGGGGAATTACAATGCTTTAGCAATTATAAATCCTATAAAAAGGCCCTAATCATTAAATTGTGCTTTGCACAATAGTGTTTGGGGTTCTTTGGAATGCTACCATTTCAGAATGATTTTTTTTTCAATATGCAGGTAAAAAAGACAACGTCTCACCTTCTTGCAAATGGGATGAGCTTTATGTATGTTAGAGATAAATAAATAGTCCCATTGGGAAATCACAGACAGATACTTCTCTATAATAAGAATAATTGGTAAAAAATCATTACAGATGTGCCTGTGCCTATGGCAGTCACAGTCTTCTGCCCTCTGTCCACAACTAGTCTAGGCTTCTTGGCTAAAAAATATGAAATCCTCTGTGTTTGAGTCCTTAAGAGCTTTCCACAATCAGACCTGTCTGTTCATTGACTAAAGTGTTGAGAGTTTCTTCTGTCTCAACAGACCATCGGGTAACTCTTTTAAGACAATGGATTACTTTTTCTCTTCCTGTGGATGCATTTTTTGTATCGTTTTACTCTGATAATAAAATCTGACAATCCCGATGTTGCCGTTTCATGGACAGAAATAGAAGACCCTTAAAAGTGGAAACACTTTCCACTTAAGGGTTTAGACTCAGATAAAAATCCAATTTCACAGTTATAAAAATGAAGCCAAACAGAGCTCTTTTCATAAATGTGTTAGGATGTTGTTCCTATATTGTCTGCTGAGAACAAAGTGTGTAGGGAAATCTCTAGTTCTGCACATTTGAGGTGATTTTGCTCTGAGTTTTTTCTACACTAGCTCAAACAAAGCAAACAGCTGTCAGCAGCTGGAGTGCATTACATGATCTTCTAAACATTTCTTTCCATTTAGTTCTGCCAGGAAGGATCCATTTCATCCAGTCAGAGATGTGAATCAAATGCAGGGTAAGAGGGAGGATGAAATAAGGAGGTTCTCTTCAATAGTGGAAATCTCACCAGCTCTTTCAATGTTATGCAAATGTCAGTTGTATTGTAATTATAATACAAACCTTTAAAATCTCTGGATAAAAAAAATAATAACCAGAACCCTGCAATCTAAAAGCAGTTCATTAGTCTAATAACCGAAAACCCCTCCCAGTTTCAACTTTAACTAGCCAGTGAAAGTATCCTCTGAGCAAAGTGCCAGTAGTTAAATGGCAATATATTGGCCTCTGATGGAGGCTTTAAATTAACAGCTGCTAACTGCAGTGTAATTGTGCACAATAGGATTGTATTACATTACATTACATTACATTACATTACATTGACAGTCATTAATGAAGTTTCCCAAGGTAACAATTTAAGCAAGATTTTTTACCACTAATTTCACCTTAGTGGGGTTCTTTATTGTGTATGTGTGTGGACCACTGTGTACATAGAGAGTCTCTTTGATTTTTAGTGTCCAGATATAGTTTTCTTTTGTGCCAGAGTATTCGGTGGTTTGGAGACTAAAACAATTAGGGTTTTTTTCCTCTTGCCTTTTCACCTCTGTTGCTTATGCATAGAGTCAGCATTTAGTATCCCACTCCTAAAGAGGGATACAAGTCTTCCATTCTTCATTTATTTCACCCTTAAACATAACTTTGAATATAGGGATTATTGTGTATCACCTCTGGCTGAAGCACTGCATCTTTGAATCTCAGACAGACTCTTTCCCCTGCATGTGACTTCCAGAGCTTTGTTTCAGACTCATAGCACTCACTGTTAGCTGCATTTTTCTACAAAGGGACAAAACAATGTCACTTCCTTACACTGATTGTCTTATGCTATGAAGGAGCAGCCAAGTTGAAGTTACCATTTCATCTCTAGTAGCCAGCAGTCTGCAACCACAAATGTAATTTTAAGCAAATAAGCATCCTACAAGAAAAATTTCATGTGTGAAGTTAACAGAGCCTTGTGTTCTCCCTTTTCGTCTCACATTGATTTTCTACCTAGACAGAAAAAATCCACAGCATAACCTTGTACACACAGGTAAATCCATTTCTGGGATTATGTCAAGAATAGCCTTGCAAAAGGCTGTTATCCCTGCAAATTAACAAATTCTAGTTTTTGCAGAATAAGTTTGCAAACTTTAATTTTGAATATGTAAAAATCCTGGGACCTAGTGAGCTGCATCTCAATATCCTCATCCTTTGTATTTGAAAAGCCATGGTGGTCAAGTGAAGTCTGTAATGACTATATGCTCCATGCATGTAGAGAGGCATCCAATTATGATGATCTTGTGTAACTTTCACCATAATGCACGAAGTGCTCTTTGCATATCCTTGTTCATGTGGGCTGGGCCCCGTTCTGCCCTGTTTTGCTGGCACAAAGTTTCTCCTGTCCGCATCAGCCTGAGCCCTTTGCACATCAGGTCACAACTTCCTCTCTTGATGCTTGTGAGAAATACTCTCTTGCTGATAAATTTGTGAGAGACAACTGCTCACTTTAAAAATTTTTAAAAGGTTTATTAAACTTTAACAAAAATACAACAAAAGGACTAAATAAGGAAAAATTGCAGCACTGGGAACTGCCTTCATGGCTGTCTACCACATGGCCAGTTCATCTTCAAGATGGATCCTCAGTCTTTTATACCTCTGGGGGTTGCATCAGCCAACCCTGCCCCTCCCCAAGGTCTGTCAGTCAACTCTTCTTTGCCATTTATCTGCTTTCTTGTAACTTGATTGGAGGGTCAGGAGTTGTCATGTCCCTTACCAACAAGCTTTTACATTCCCAACTGCCCCATGGAAGGGACACAGGTGCATGCCTTCTTTTCTAACCTGTCCTAGACAATGTAGGTTGTCTGATGGCAACAATAGAGGGTGGGGGGGG